CATTTGGCAAAGTATGGCCTGCAGAGAAATAGCAGCATTATCACCTAAGACATTACTCGATTGCAAAATCTTAGATCCCACTCCAGAGCCACTGTTTTGGTGTTAATAATTGCTACATTACAAGTACCTGAAAACTTAGTCATCGTTGTTGTTACTGTGTGCCATCTAGTCACCTATAACTCATAGCAACCCTGTGTACAGAAGCTCTGAACCCAGCCCTAAGCACAATCATAAAGTTGGTAATACAAGAATCATTGTAATTCATGACCTTTTACTCAGAAATTTAAGCAGGGTTCAGCTGGGCATTTCTTCACATTGATAAGTCACTTGATAGTGAATTTTCACTGGATTTTCAGCTGATGACTGAACAGACTGGGCTGAATCACCCAACAAGAATTTATTCCTGTATTTGATACCACACTTGCTCTTCCATGTACCCTCTTAGTGTCTTTTTCTTCTGTGAATGATTTGTTTTGACTTCCTAATAACATGGTGATCTCAGGCTAGTAAGGACTACTTTTTGTGGTAGTTAGAATATTCTAAGCATGGAGGTCTTCAGATCCCTTAACGCCCAGCCCTACAAATAATGTAGCATAACATCTGCTTTAATATATATATTAATATATACATTTTTTTTAAAGAATACTGTATTTGACATACACTGTGATTGCATGATATCCAGGAGGCTATAAAATCTTAATTTGATTGCTCTGGTGACACAACCAAAAGGTTAACATTTCACACCTGCTTAACAGTTCTAAAGGAGAAAGATCTGGCATTTTGCTCTCATAAATACTTGTGGAATTAAGGATTTTTCAAAATTAGTTTCCTTGCAATTGCCTAACTTTGTCATGTGGGTAGGCAGGAATATGCAAATAGGGTGTGTTAGCCTATCCACAAGAGGATTGGCTAGTCTCACCAATCCACAAAAGATTGGCTAGCCTCACCATTAAAATTGAGCAAATTCAGCAGCAGAAGGAGAAAACCTCACCACCAACAAAGCAGCAGCAGCAGCAGCAAGAGAATATACTAGGTTCTTCAAGACCAGAGACACTTGTGCCAGCCAGATGAGGGCCTATGGAAACAATAGTCATAGCAGACGCAGTGGAAGCCTCACATGAGATGGAGCGGACTTTGAGACTGCTATGCCTTTTGCCCAAGGGCAAAAGGAGGACTGAGAGGGGCGAGAAGGGGAAGGAGTGGGAGAGCCAATATTGGCAGGGCTGAGAACTTTAGAGCACTGGCCTGAAGTCATGAGATTCAAGGCTAAGGCTCCCATGAGCACATTTCAGAAGCTGTACTACTGATTATATTTTGCTACTAACTGAATTATAACCTTTTGAGTTACTCAATATTGTTCTGTGTGGTCTGTGAGCTATATAACTTAGGATTTTGGACCAAGTAAAGCAGTAAGATTGGTGTTGAGATGAGTAGAAAGGTATGAGAGTGTGAGGGACATGTCCAATGGAAAATGATTTTGTGTTGTGAATGGGGACAGTTCCCCTTTGTGAAGTGGATACAGGTCAAATATGGCCATTATACAGCCTTGCTCTTTTTACAAGACAAGAAAATTTTATAAAGCAGTTCCATTCTGTCAGTCACATGGGGTAGTTTTGAGGCAGAATCTACTTAAGAGTGCTTAAAAACAGCTATTAAAATTACAAATTTTCTTTTATTTCTCCATAATTTCTTTTAAGTATTTATCTATGTGAAAATGTTTTCCAGATACAAAGCCTAACATGCTTACCTCCTTTTTATAAATTTAAGTATGAAGAGCAGAAAAGATCAATCTTGGATTGTAGTTCAAGAAAATGTATAGTTCATCTTGAAGTTCTTATAGTACAGTTACTACCTTATTTAATATATGAAATATTTATAAATTTAATATCTATGTAGTTAATGTCTAAAAATATCAGTCATTTGTTAGAGAATTAGAGTTCTTACTGATCTTATTTCTCTGCTTTAATGAAATGGAGAAAGTATAAAACATTTTTGAAGAAAGTAGCTTCTTCAGGAAGATTATTATATTATTTGAGCAAATGAATAGGTTATTTAAAAGTTCAAGTATGATATACACTGTTGTAGAAAATTGTTTGAGAGCTTTAAAAAGTTTTTTAATGAAGAAGTAAATCTGAGAGAACAATGTATGAGTGCAAACCAAAAACAGAGCCTTTCATTTAACAGTTTCCAAAGTAAATTACCTGCACTGTCTTCTGAATAATTAAAGTTAAATAAGATGATGCAGTGATACAACTGTGGGGAGAGTAAAACATAGAAAACAATGACAAAGTGGAATAAAAATAGACTAACAGGGTTTTATCATTTATTTCATGTTCGTATGCATGTTTATATGTTAAGAATATGTGTATTGTTTTTATGTAGAGTTATTTTTTTAACCTTACAAAATTATAATGCTCAGTCTAATAAAGAAATAAGATAGTAATTTCAATATTAAAAGACCAAATATAATTTTTTACTGAATCAGCTGACTATGAGAAATCTTGATTTCTTAAAAAGCTTCATAACAATTAACTGAAGTATTTTTTTGGTTTTTTCATTCTTCCCTTAAGATTCTTTCTCTCTTCATGTGATACTGATTGGAGTCTCATAAACAAAAATTTGAAATTTTTTACTTTACTGTAAACCACAGGTTTTCACTTAGGAGATAAGGTTTTTAAAGAAGCTTTTGGGATGGGGAGGTGTGTAGCTACTGTAAAGATTGGGGCTTTTTTTTTCTTTTATAACCATTAAGTATCTATTGTTCTTCTTTCTTGATTTCATATCTCAAGTTCAGTCTTTAAGAAAGGTTTCTAGAACCAAATCTAGATTAAATGTATAACATAAGACTTTCTTTTTTTCTTTCCAGATTAACCATCCATTTTGCAATATGTGTGCTTTTACATCATTAAGATGAATTGTCTATAGTAATTTATTTTAATGGATGTTTTTTCCTATGAGATCAAATGTAGACTTCCAACCAGGACAAGACAATTAGTATTATACTAAAAGTTCCTATATATATATAAAGAATACAAACATTTTCTTTAAAATGAGTTGTTGCTCATGTGTCTCCTTAGCTTATCAAGTTTGTGGTTTTTTTCTTTTTTGATTTGTTTTGTACCATCAAATCAGATCTGACTCGCAAAGGAGGAGATTGCCCCTCCTTCTCCAGTGGAGCATCTGGTGGATTCAAACTGTGTAACTTCGAGAGTGCCGTGCAGCTTCTTGCCACTGGACCACCAGAGCTCCCTTAGCTTATCAAGTTTTAATAATGATTGACTTTGGAAATCTCAAACTAGAGCTCTAATTTTAGTAAATTTTCGCCCTACCAGCTGAGACCAAACAAAATTTAAATGGAAATCTCTTGAAAATGGTTTAGTTGGATAGCTTGCATTTGAACATTCCTAATCTTTTACCTTAATATATTCATTCACCTTAGCTTATGTGATGTACTTGTATGTAGAAATGTGAAATTAGAAAATACTTTCTATATAGCTCTTATTGAGGACTATTTTATGTGATTTCACATTGTCAGTCTTTAAAAAGGCTTTTATTTACTTACAATATATAAGCATATAAAAGGAAAGGGGTTAAAAAAATGAACAGACAGTGAGGTAGTATTCAAAAACAATATGCATTGGAAGTTATATTGTAGTGCAGTAGCAATGCTAAGCTTTAATAGTCCAATAAGACACAAATTGTTTTTAGGTTGAATTCTTAATCCTCTGGATTTATGAGTGCCCTGGAGGCCTCATTGTAAGGAGATGTACTGCCAACCCCAAGTCAGGCAGCTCAAGTTTACTAGCTGCTCCAAGGAAGAAAGATGGGAAATCTCTTGTGTGATTTACAGCCTCTGAAAATCCACTGACAGGTCAGCTAGGGATTGCTTCTGACTCGATGGCACATAGTAACAACATTACAGATTTATGTAAGAACTGTGAAGTACTAACATAAAAATCGGAGCACTGAATAAGCAAGGAAAATGTTTATCAAAAAAGGAACATGCATTGCCCTATGTTTGCATATTTTTATGTGCTGAGAAATGCAAAGTCTTTGTAGTGCTAATATAGTTTGTCTTACTTCCATCAATTTCTGTATTAATTCTTTTTTTAAAAAAAATAATTTTCGTTTTTCAAGGAGAGGAGCAAATGGGGGGGAGGGGGGAGGGGTTTGTGTGGGGAGAAGGGTGCAACAATGAATGAATGGAATCCCAAAATCTGTGTAGATGTTCATTGAAATGAAAAATAAACAACCTAAAAAAAAATAATTTTCATGAAAGTTAAGAGACTTTGGATTTCCATTCATTCATTGTTCCACTTTTCTCTCTGTCCAACCTCCCCACCCCCAGTTCGCTCTTCTCTTTGAAAAGTAAAAGAAAAATTCTTTCCTTGTTATAAAATCCCTTTCCCGAAGTCTACTCCACTATGCAGCCTTCGTTCTGGACTCCTGTGATGACAATAATACCTAATCATATATCCCTTTTAAACAGTTCTCTGCCTCATCTGTTTCAATGCAGTATACATAATTTATCCCATCTTTCTCAGTCTCTCCCTAACCTCGATGTCAGTCCTGTTTTGCAACAGTGGCACTATGCAGTATTTTTCCTTTTGTGACTGAGATTTTGTATTCTTATGGTATTATGCATCAAAGAAGTTAACATCTAGTTTATTGTTTAAAAAGAACCATGTCCTATTTTTATAAGAAAAATTGTATTAATTGATCTCAAGTGTAAAGAAAGTTCAGTATATATAAGTCTTCAAAACAGATATATTAGAGAATAATTTACATGGTCAAATAATCTGATATACAAATTCTTATTTATAAAATTAGATTATGTGAAACTAAGAACACTTCTGTATTGTTTAAGCTTCAAATTACTCTTGTATAAGATTGCCACATTCTATTGATCAAGTGAAAATTATTATGCTAAAATAATAGTTTGGAGGTTTTTTAATGGAAAAAGAAATTGGAATTTATTAACACTTTTTTCTTTTTGCCAGATTTAGAAATGGCTGTTGCATATTGGAATTTAGTATTATCTGGAAGGTTTAAATTCTTAGATCTATGGAACAAATTTTTGTTGGTAAGTATTCTGCTCCTTCTTGGTGGGTAAGTAAAATTAGCAGATCATAATGTGATTGTGAAATTAGCAGATTATAAAATGGTTGTCACTTTTTATATTAAAAAAATTCTATAACTGATAACTCCCTCCTTCTTGGTAGACATGCCAGAATATTTTTTTATTCCTCTTTTCTGAAGAAACTAATGTGAAAATTTGGGGTAAACTTTGAAGTCCTATTACTCTTGGTGCTATTGAGTCAGCTGATTCACGGTACACCGTGTGTAGCACAACAAAATGTTGTCTGGGCCGACACCATCTTCACGATGGTGGGTGTATTTGAATCCATTGTTGGAACTTTTGTGTCACTTCTTCCATTGAGAAGTTCTTTGACTTCGATTGGTTCTTCACTTTGCCACACATAATGTCCTTGTTCACTGGTAAACTCCTACTAGTAATTCATCCACAGTGAGCAAGTTGAAGTCTTGAACAGTTCTCTATGATTCATAGGGTTTTCACCTATGTGCAACCACCGCCCATGAAGAGGCTTGCGTGCTGCTTTGTTGTTGAACAGGCTTCAGCAGAACTTGCAGGTTAAGACATATTAGGATTAAAGTCCTAGTGATCTGAAAACCAGTAAATGGACCACAGTTGTCTGATCACCACCATGAATCAGAGCTAATTCAACACAAGTAACAACAAAAACAAATTTTAGAACTAGACGTGCAGGCCTTTTTTAACGTCTGTCTGAGTTAGGAAGCTCTGCTGAAACCTGTCCCCCATGGGTCAACCTGCTAATGAAGTACTAGTGGCATAGCTTTCAACGTTATAGTAACACTGTGACAAACTGACAGGTAATTGGTGGTATAAAGTCCTAGACTGTGTGTATTGGATAGCAGAGAAATAGCTGCATAGCTTTGTATTCTGTGCACCACAGCAGCTGGGCTTCAAGTTTGAGTTGATTCCAAGGCTACTTTTAGAAAAGTTCTCTGTGACAACCATTTAAAACTTCTTAGATTTAGGACTTTAGGCAACTATCAATTTACTGTCCCCAGAGCCTAAACTAATTAACTTGATAGTTTCTCTGAGAAACTTTAGAGAACAAAGCACAACAGCCATACTATCTGTAAAAGGTAGTGTTGGTTCTAGAACTATGGATTGTATTCCACTCTCCAGTGGAAATACCACTCTATATGTGTTACATTCTGATACTGGTTTTAAAATGTGTTTAGTAATGTTTAGAAGGAAAAAGAGCTTATTTGGCCTCTTCAAGAATCCATTGGTGATGGTAGTTTGACGTAAACTGCAGTAATGCCAGGCCCGATGAGAGTAAGAAGGAGCTATGGTGGCACGCTGTGTTATGTTTTGGGTTACTAACCAAAGGATCAGTTGTTTGAATCCACCAACAGTTCCCTAGAAGAAATATGGACAGTCTCCTTCTAGAAAGATTTTACAGTCTCAGAAACCCATTGGAGGGTCACCATGAATCAGTTCAATGGCAGTAGGTTTTCATCTCAGTAAAGAAACTCTTTTTAAAGTAAAATAGATACTTCACATAGTATACACATATAGCAGAGTAAGAATGCCTATATTATTTTAATAATATATGATTTTACAATTTCTACATTTGCACACAGGTGGTATAGCCACTTTATCCAAAGCACTATTATTACCTCTAGGGAGCTCTGGTGGCCTAGTGATAAGGCGTTGTTGCCAACCTAAAGGCATGAAGTTCGAATCCACCAGCTGCTTCATGGGAGAAAGATGGGCAGTCTCCTGTCATGTGATTTCCATCCTCTGAACACCTGCACAAGGGTCAACTATGATTCAGTTCTGACACAATAGTACATAACAACAACACATTTTATGTCTGTTGGTTTGGTATTCTGCTTTGTTCTTCCAGTAATAAGAGATTACATCCATCAGTCCTGGTGGGATGGTGATTAAAATGCTTGACTGCTGGCAGAATATGCCCATCCACATTCACAAAGGTTTACAGCCTTGGAAACCGTTTTGCTTTGGTAGTTCTCCTTTGCCCTACAGCGTGCCCATGGGTCAGAGTCCACTCAAGGACAGCAAATTTGGTTTTGGTTAGTGAACATATGCTTTACTCCAACACTTACTAGTTTTATGGTCTTAAGCAAATTATTTCACTTTCTTATACCTTCATTTCTTCATCTGTAAAATAGAAATAATGATAACTCACAGGGCTTTAAGGAGGTTTGTTGATTAATGTAAGTAAATCACTTCACAAGAAAGTGTTTGTGAAAGCTAGTATTGTTTAGAAAGTCCTTGGGTGGCACAAATACTGTTTTTGTTCAACTGCTGATCTAAAGATTTAGTATTTGAATCTACCCAACAGCATACCCATGGGATAAAGACCTGTCTCCTTCTGTAAGATTATAGTCATTGAAAACCCTATGTACGGTTCTACTTTGAAAACATGGGGTTGCCGTAAATTGGATTGACTTAACAGTAACAGGTTTGATTTAGTTTTGTGGTTTTGTATTTTTGTAGCTATAATATTAGAGAAAACAAAGTTTGAACTCTCTGATGTCTAAGTTGGTTAAAACTCATAGCACCCCTCCATCGAGATTCTAAAGCTATAAATTTTAACAGGAGGAGACTGACCATATTTCTCCTGAGTAACCACTGATGAATTCAAACCACTGAGGACTAGCAGCACAACATGCTACAGACTATGCCACGAGAGCTCCTTTCATTTAAACATTTCCGTTAAATCATGTACTATATTATATTCAAAAGTTAGTAACCTTGTGCCCATGAATTCTCTTTACTTTTTACCTGGAGTCATAACCTATATTTGAAGCATATAACCCAAGAATGGGCCATCTGTATGTTATAAAATACACAGGATTAGCCTTATAAATCCAGTTTTTAAAAAATATTTTTAAAGGATATTATTTTGTCTTCAAATAAGTCTGGTTTCTACATTTGAACACTGATGTTGTAGTCAGTTTATTCCAAGTACTGTTATTACTTTTAAATTTTAATAACATTGTTATTGTACCTCTTCCTCAGCAAATTATATAGTGAAGAGAATTGGCCCACTAGATTATTTAAGAGTTAAACCTTATATCTGTTGGTTTGCTGTTCTGTTTTGTTTTTCCTCATATATTAGGAACATCACAAAAGGTCAATCCCCAGGGACACTTGGAACCTTCTACTAGACTTTGGAAATATGATTGCAGATGATATGTCAAACTACGATGAAGAAGGTACTGAAGCTGCTGTATTCTGGGTGATTGGGAGGCATCCTAAAATCTGACACGAATGTGAACTTTTCCTGCCTTTAGATCCTGGGACAGTGATTAAGAAAATAGGCACTGGAATACTCCTGACTCCTGTTTGACCCCTGGCTCTACCCTTATGCAGTGTCCTCATCAAGTGAGGATGGTAATAATAATTAATAATAATAATACCCACGTCATTAATATTTCAGGTAAATCCCATAAAAGAAAAGTGGGGTTTCATATTTAGTTGAAATTAAGAAGACAGCTATTTATGTTTAAGAAATTCAAAAGTTACATGTAAGAACTCACATTGCAAAACTATGGAATCAAGTCTGAGGTTAGCTGATTTTTTTTAATGAGTTAATCTTTTTAATCATTTTTAAATGAGATTTTTATAAGTCTATTTGCTATAAAAGTCTCCCCAATAGATCAGTTTGGAAAAATTGGCTTTCCACATGCAGAAAAATGAAATGGAATCCATGCCTGACATCATACTCAAAACCAAAATCAAATTAGAGTGATAACCTAAATGTGCAAATTAAAACCATAAAATTCTTAGTACAAAAATATAAGGGGAACATTGTCAG